TAAATAAGTCGTTCCTTTCTGTCCTCTTTTTTGGTCGGCAAGTCATCCCTTTCCTAGCCCTGCAATTTTAATATTGGTATAAACACAGCTTTTGAAGCGAAGAGTCATCGCAAAATGCGGCTCAAACACGGCCTTTTATAATTCAACGTCTCTTTCATTTCGATTCCTTATTTCATTTTTCACCGAACAAACGAACCCTAACAAAATTTCGCGCGGGCTCTGCACCAGACTTATCTCCTTCCGCTCAACTTGGATGTCCGCCTGAAGCCGCCTCTTCTCCCCTCTCATGGCCTCCTTACGACGCCTTCTTCCTCCTCTCCACTCCTCGCTTCACGTATTTCTCTTCTTCCTCTTCCTCTTCCTCTTCCTCTTTCCCTCCTCGCGCTTTTCTGGTTTTTTAGTCTTCTCATGGTTCCTGTTCATTTGTTACAGAGGACGAGCTTTTCATCTTCCGGATTTCGGGAAGGTTCTTTTTTCTTTGTTATTGTTGTTGCTGCTGGTTTATTTTAGTGAGTGAAGTAAGCAGTTCTGATCTCTAGTTGGATTTGGTTCAATTTAGGACTTCGAAGTCAAATTCGAGGCTACAATGCCGGACCTTCATCATCTGAGCACACTCTATCGAAGTTTGAGGAGGGAATAAAGCAAGCTGAGAGAGATAATTCGACCACTGAAGATGAAATAGAGAACATTCGGCGCCAATTTGATGCTGCAAGGCAGAGTTTTAGCAAAATTCCGGAGGCATTAAAGGGAATGCCAAAGATGAATCCTGAAGGTTCAATTTTTTTCTAATTTGAATATAATTTGCGAAGTGTGCCATTTATTGAGTGTATGATTTATCTGTTTGTGTAGGCATATATGTAAATAAAAACCTGAGATTGGATAATATACAAGTTTATGGATTCGATTATGACTACACCCTGGCACATTACGCCTCTAACTTGCAGAGTTTGATATATGATCTGGCAAAGGAGCATATGGTGAATGAGGTTAGTTTTTGTATATTAATGTAGTACTTATTTATTGTAGATTTTAGTGGGGGTGATACTAAATGTTGTGGAATTGTTTTTGTTGGCTTTCTTGCAGTTTAGATATCCCGAGGTTTGCATGAGATTTAAGTATGATCCATCTTTTCCCATTAGGGGATTATACTATGACAAGCAGAGAGGATGTCTCTTGAAGTTGGATTTTTTTGGATCAATTGAGCCAGATGGATGCTACTATGGCCGACGCAAGGTACTTCGATGATGCAATGCACTTCTTATCTTGCAATGGTTGAACTATATTTGCTTCTCCAATAGGTCTGAGTATCATGATGTATGCAATGTAGATGCTTAATATTGAAACCGTTCCTTTTCACAAGCATTTGTAATGAACAAAGTGAAACCTTCCTATGAAGTTAGGCTTTTTTTGGAGTAAAAAGCTGATACTTTTGAACTTTGTTTATATGGAATGCATCTCAGAAGTGCTTATGAGGTTGTTCTTGCTATTTGGAGATCAGCTTCAAAGTTTTGTCATTTCCTTTTGGTTCTCGTTTTTGCCTTAGGCAGTCTTTTTGTTTACACAGAGCACTTATTCTTTTAATCTCATTTTGCTTCTATTAGCAATTCATGAAGAAGAAATATTCAAGATGTGTTTTTTCTTTTATTTCAAGATAAGTTTTGGCGCAGGGCATATTAATATTTAGGACATTAAATGGAACCCAGTTTAAAAGATTTTTTGGTACATCAAATTCAAGAGTCTCATTGGACTTGTTACCCTCTGATGGACTATGTAGAATTTTTCCAAGGTGGTTTGGCATTTGAACCAAAGGTAGCTCCTTGCCTCCTTTAAAGAAATGAAAGGGGGTGAGGTGTGGCTAAGAGGGAGAGAAAGGAGGGGAAAATTTTATCATGCAGAACTTCAATAATAGATTTGCATGACATAAAAGATAGATGATAATGAGAAGTGGGGAGGGGTGAAGAGGGAGAGGGAGGAGGGATTGTTTTCTTATCTGTTGAAGAGCTTGCATGGATTTGAATGAAGAATATGGTGTTTCTTATTATGCATTTTGTGATGCAGCTTAGCAGGGAGGAAATAGAACAGATGTATGGCACCAGACATATTGGTCGTGATCAAGCGCGTGGACTTGTGGGCTTGATGGATTTCTTCTGCTTTAGTGAGGTTAATTTAATTATCATTGCATTTCTTTACAGGATGCAAAATGAAGTTAGTTTTTCTTCCATGCATTGATCTGGCATTCAACATGGTTAGGGCTGTAGTTTATGGTTGGAAGGCATGCAATATTTTCTCCATGTATGTTTTACTACAGAAATAGATGGTGGTATATATAAAAATGCAGAGTGACATCGTACGAGTGTGGGATGAACATGTTGAGGATAGGTGATTGAGATGCTTTTGGAAGAGATACAGCAGCATACTTGCACATACACATACACAAAATGATTCCTAGGATCTCTTGAGAAATGCTTTCCAGCTCCATCTAGGTCACCTCAGTCCTGAACTGCTTACTTTCCTTCAAGATCCTCAAGAGTCACTCTCACGTATTGGATAATGATATAGCAATCTTCCTCCCAATACATCTGATAAATTTGCCAAGTGTTTCAACTAACTTATATATGTTCTTGAACACCATCAAAGGAAAAATCATGCTGTTCCTAGATTTTCTGGCTTGTTAAATTGTGTGCTCCTGTTTGTTTATTTATTTATTTAATGTTTTGTTATTTTGAAATATTTAGCTTTTGTGAGTTATTTTTTTCCCCTTCTCCACAAACCTCTGAACCTTTTATCTTCATCGTTTGCCTGTAGGCATGCCTTATTGCTGATGTTGTGCAATTTTTTGTTGATGCCAACCTGGAATTTGATACCCGCTACATCTATCAAGATGTCAATCATGCAATTCAGCATGTTCATCGAAGTGGCTTTGCTCATAGAGCAATTCTTTCTGATCCTCATAGATATCTAGTTAAAAATGTAAGTTCTATGTCTCTGGCTATGTATTACGTTAAATTATTCTGAGCTTGGTGGCCTTTCAGTTTGAAAAAAGGGTTATTGTGGAGTATTTTTTAGCATCACGTTGAATAATGCATCTTCTTCAGAGGATATTGACTTGTCCTGTTCTGGTGTGTGATTCAGGGCCAGCTTTTGCGCTTTCTTAGGATGCTGCGGGAGAAAGGGAAGAAGCTTTTCTTGTTAACTAACTCTCCATATTATTTTGTGGATGGAGGGATGCATTTTATGTTGGAGGTAATTTACCATGCTGTACCTATCATTATCTTAGACTTCTGGACTAACAAAAATGTGAAAATTTTGTTGCATTTCAAACTTTCAACGTTTTAGTTCAATTTCAATTTCTTGGAATTGTTTGCTATTCATCCCTTTTACCGTCTACTAGAGAAAACGTCCAAAATAACATGTTATGGCATCTTCAGGTTAATTCAAAGATATGATTTAGCTACTTTAATTGTGAATGTTCATTTTCTCATTTTTAATTTTGGACAGATATTTTCTTGCTTGAAGTTATTTTTTTATTGTATTCCATTGCATTAAATGTGAATAATTTCCTTAGGAAAGTAAGATCTTGCAGAATATGCATTTTGTTGAAGTCATTTTATATGATTGGATAGGTTAGCTGCAGTAATCTGGAAACTGGAATAGCATTGTTGCCTTATATGCCAGTAATATATATTAGAAGGAAGACAAGGATTTGACGTGCTAGGGTACCTATTAGAGAACCTTAGCCTCTTTCACCTTGTGTGTGTGCATTTGTATGTCATGAGTCGTGTACATATAGTATCCTTCATATCATATTTGTAGAAAACTGTTGCTGCATGTGGAAGACATATAAAATAAACCTTTTGATCAATGATCACCCATATAAGTTAGAAAATGTATATACAGGTGATGTATTTATGGGTTTTTGTGTTTATGCTTCTCTTCATGTATGTAATAGATGTAGACATTTCATGTTTCAAAACAAGTAATCAGATGCCATTAATCAGAATGTCCATTTTCTTTTTCCTTTTAGTGTTGCAAGCATATTTCCTGTTTATTACTTATGTTATGTATGTAATATTATTTCTATCTATGGTTTCTGAGCTAAGTTTGATATGATCGTTAGGATTCCACTGGTTACAAAGGCTCATGGAGGGAACTCTTTGATGTCGTGATTGCTAAAGCCAAAAAGCCAGAGTTCTACACTTCTGAGCATCCCTTCCGGTTTGTATCTGTCATCTATCAAAGTTGTTTTACCTTTTTCTTGCACACAGTTTTGTAACATAGAAATCTGAAGGAATCACCCAATTTAAGTCACCAAGATATGCTGCATACTTGCTGTTAAAATAAAAGTGATATGCTTCATACTTGAAAAAAATAAAGGTTTCACAGTGAGCTGGTAACTCAGAGAAGTATCGCACATATGGTAAATAAAATTTTTGCTAGCTGACAGGTAGTTGAACTATTATGTTCTGCTAAAGAGGACTTGAAATGATAAAATCTATATATGCGGGGAAATAATAGTCAGTTACAATTTACTTACTGGATAACTTCTTAGATCAACCAGAAATGAATGGCATTTTCCCCTACTTTTCTTTTTACTCACTGTTTTGGTTCACAAAATAATTGTTAATTTGTCTTCTGAACTTTCATACAGCTGCTACGACACAGAGAAAGACACTTTAGCTTATGCAAAGGTGGATGAGTTTCTTCCAAATAAAATCTATTACCATGGATGTCTTAAATCTTTTCTTGAAATTACTAAGTGGCGTGGCCCAGAGGTATTTCATACTTCTTTAATTTTTTTGAACAATTAGTCAAAATGGTGTACAAGCATTTACATTCTTGTTCAAGAGGTTGAAACTTGAATGGCTTTGCTTCCTTCAAATTTTAACTGTTGGGTACATTTTGCTTCCCCAAATTCCTTACCAGGTGATATACTTTGGTGATCACCTTTTTAGTGACCTAAGAGGTCCTTCAAAGGCTGGTTGGCGGACTGCTGCAATCATCCATGAGCTAGAAGTATGTTCCACTACATTGTTTTGCACATTGTCCTGAATGCTTGTAGCACTCATTTAGCACTTATTTTGGAGATGCTTTCTGTTATTATGGGTATTTTTCTGTGGTCATCTTTTATTTACATGTGAGTGGGCCAGCAGTTGAGGCTAATAATAGGATTGATAATAGAATGGTATGCAGGGAACAGGTAACATCTATCATTCGGCCACTTCTAGATAGAATTATGTTGAAAACATAGTTCTGGCATTTAAATGCTGGTTTTTGGCCATATTATTAACTGTGATTAGTGCTGTACTTTCCAAGGGACTGATGGGTGATCATAGTGCATTAGTTTCAGAAACAATTTTCAGGTGACATAGGTTTTGAATTTGACCAGCTGATTCCTTTTTTATATTATTAAATAAAATACCAAATGTTCAACTAATTTGAAGCACGTTTATTTATTTCTCTGCTTTAGTAAATGGTAAAACAACTTGGAATGAGGATTCCTGCCAGTCAGAATAGTGCAATATTAGATTTGTACCACGTGGTTTGAGATTTATTTATTTATTGTTATGAGAATCATATTGAAAAGTTTTTATCTGTTTTTCTTCTTTCCCTTTTTTGCAGAGTGAAATATGCATACAAAATGGGGATAGCTATCGATTTGAACAGGTATGATTCCATTGTTATATTTTGAAATCTTTCATTGGTGTTGTTACATAGCATCAAGGGATTTGTGTAATCTGCCTTGCATGGTAATTCAGTAATTTGAAGCTGGATTGAGTTAAATGGCGTTCAACATAGGGTGCATACTTCTTTTGGGTGCTGGATTGATTAATTATTTGTTAAGCCTTTTATACTTCTGACTCTCAAATAAGAATTATCCCCACTACCATAAAAAGGAAAAAAAAAAAAAAAGAAGTAAAATCCCTATTCAATTTCTTGCTGTACATTTTAGTCAAAGTCTTTTTTGACTACAAGGGACAGAACCTTGAAAGAGATTAGCATATGCTTCATTTCATGCCAATGAACCATAGCAGACAAACATGCAAAGTACCTGACATTACTGCCACTGGGTTGGACCAACCTAAGACCCAAACAATTAGTCAGAACAAAGAGGCCAAATATAATCAAATTTTATCTTGTGACAACTCTCCTAGAAGCTTAGTGTTGAGAATTCTCAGTGTTCAGTTCTCTCTCACATCCAGCACTTGAAGAGAAAAATAATGTTATCTTCTGTTAACTTTCAACTTGTTTAGTATGTTGCTATCTTTAGAAAGTTACCCCATATTTAGTGTTGTGATCTTTCTGTCCTCTTGATGACATGTTGGGTCTCATTCTCCCCCCGCTTGACTTGGCAGTGGACCAGCAGATCAATTCATGCCATGCAAATCTTAAACTGAGATTTCACTGTTGTTTGTGTGCACTTACCCTTCCATGAATTTTTATTGGCCTAAATGCATTTTTTATTCAAAATTTTCAGACTAAGAAATACTTTTTTGTCTCTCTCTCTCTCTCTGTGTCTTTTTCCATTTGTTTTATAGTCTCTTTACATTCTCCTTTTAAAACCTCTGCATGCAGGCAAAATTTCATATAATACAGGAACTGCTAGGTAAATTACATGCAACAGTGGACAATAGTAAGAATAGTGAAGCATACAAGTTACTTTTTGCTGAGTTAAATGACGAGAGAAAAAAGGCACGCTGCATGATGAAGAAGATGTTCAATAAATCCTTTGGAGCCACCTTCCTCACTGACACAGGCCAGGAATCTGCTTTTGCCTATCACATTCATCAATATGCAGATGTGTACACCAGTAAGCCAGAGAACTTTTTGTTCCATCCACCTGAAGCATGGCTTCATGTGCCTTTTGATATCAAGATTGTGCCTCATCATGTGAAGGTATTCAGACAGTTTCTCTAACTTTCCATTCTACAAGTTACTAAATATTAGTTTTTTTTTTTCCTTCTTTGAATAAAAAAATATTATCTGCATTCCTTTTTTATGGATATTTTGCCTGCCTCTATAACCAACTAGGGTAATTTAATATGATGGTTTTATTACTCTCCCTACCAGTATTTCACTTCGTATCCCTGCTGGTAGCAGCTTGAATTTGTACCTATTATATATTTGCATTGCTTAGCAATAGATGCATGTTGCGTGACATCTGCACTCTGCAATTTGCAACTGGATTTGTCATCAATTATGTACTATCCTCTATGCTCATCACTATGAATCTAGACTTTGCGGGGTTCCTTTGTCCACATTGGTTAGACTTTGTCTCTGCACTTACAATCAGCATCCACTTCTAGTTATTGTTTTCCTTTTGCCTCTCACATCATTATGTTTAGTCGTGCAAAATACATATGGTGCACTTTCTTTGTCTGATATGATCTTATCTGAATCCTAAGAGCTTGACTTTATATTTTTCCTGGTGCCTTTCCTAATTGATTGATATGAGATTTTATGCACAAATGAGCTGTAACAAGACTCGCTATGTGGCAACTTAAATACTTAATCTTCATTTAAAGTGTGATGCTAGATTCTACGGTATTGCCCTTCTTATGAATAATTTCAATTTTTCAGGTTCCGTCAAGCTTGTGTAAAAATTAGTAGATGGAAATTTCAGGGCTATAGAGGATAAATGTTATCTCAAATTCCAGCATATTCGTTTGTCACTAAATGTGGCAAGGGAATAATCTTTCATCGTCACACTAAATGTGGCTAGGGATAATCCTTCATTCTAGCAAAGCATCAACATGGAGTGCTTCATAATTAGCCAGGTACCGTCAGACATATAATTCGAAAATTCTTTGTAACATTCCATCCACATTCTTTCCATTTCATTAAAGCCTGAAAAACAGTCACTCATTTAAGGGAATAAGAATTTGGAAATTTCAGCATAGATTGATTGTACGATGTAGCCTAATTATGATTATGTGATTACCAACAGCCTTTGTTTAGAAACTTAATAAATTTTTGGCAAAGGGTGGGTGTCATGGATGATGTGGGAATGGTAGATGACCTAATAACAGGATTAAGAAATATGGTAAGAGCCACAAATAACTCAGTTTCTTGGTGACCAAATCATTTCAAGGTAAGGTTTCGTGCCTTGTATTCGTGTAGGAAGTCTTCTCACGCAAACCTTTCTTTTGTGATTTTGAGACCTTCAAATTTCATTCTACGCCTGAAGTACAAAAACTTGTGGCCATGCCATTTATAAGACGCAAACTGCTTCTGTATTTAATATTACTCTTATTAGGATACTTTGACATTTCTTGGACATAACCTCGCGTTTATGTATTTCTTTATTTCTTTCGGGCGTATTATAGCTAATAGCGTAGTTTAAATACCAACCCGGTCCAACCGGCTTAAATCTAAAAAATGAAGTGAACAGAAACTATCCTTTTAAAATGAGTTTGAAATTGTCTTCTTTCTGTTTTTCCACGTAATCTTATGATGTTTAGTTATTATTAATATAAAAAGTGTGTTTTGTAATTTGAATTATATTAAATTATAAAATATTAGTTATTATATTAAAACATGTTTCTAATATTGAGAGAGAGTATCTTTGTTTAATAATTGATGGTTTAAATTTTAATAGTAAAATATTAAATTTTATTATTATTATTATTATTATTATTATTATTTAAGGAAGGAGCAAACTTTTACAAATTCTACAAAGGAAAATGGAAGAAGGGGTCATCCCTGAAATTTGAAACCGTCACAGGGGTTGTTCTCCTTCCCCGTTGGGCAAATGCATTAGCCACTTTCTCTAGAGCAAGTGGATGTTATGACGATTATTGGAAAGTGACACATTTGAATGAGGCTTGCTGAAGTATGCCACTCTTTTATTGTATTTTTTTTTTCTTCCACTGATCATATATTCATCCGAATAGTGAATAAAAAAGGCAACTACATTTTAGCCAAATTTGATTTTTAAAGGAGTTGATTTTGTCTAAATTCTCCCCAACAACCAAAGAATAACACAAGAATCAAAGACTAACGGGGCAAGTAATTTTAATGGGGTAATAAATTGAGTAATTGAGTCACTGACAAGAAAATTTAGGACATGCCTGTTTCCGTACGGTTTTGAACTCTCTAGACAAAAAACCAATAGACTATTTGTTGGTTGCTCCCTTTCTTCTACACTTCTCAAATGGCCAAAACCCAAACAGAAAGTTGTCATTACTCACAAGGCATAATAACACAAGGACCATTTACAATTAGCATTTTATGCCAATTGGAGCCAAAGCCTTTTGTCTCCACAAATTTATAAGACCACCGTTCATCCTCCCTAGTCCCTACGACAATAATAACACCACGTCACCTCCACCCATCGGTTTTTGTCTAGCATTTCATAGTTTTCTCAATCTTGTAGATTCTACGGACCGTAAAAAAGAGATTATTGAACTCGGCAGTGCCTCACAATCAGGAGTCTCTCTCAATTTTATAGTAGGTTTTGTGTAGCTTGACAGTCTAGACGACATCAAGTTATGGAAAACCAATATAACAATCTCCTCTTTGATACAAAAAAACATTTCATCCCCTTCACCAAAGCAACTAGGGAAGAAACGGGATGAAAAATAAGATGAGACCCCACGCACAGAGGTGGAGGGTTGAATCCCATAAGCAGTGTAAAAACCCGAAATCACAATTTTTTTTTTCTTTTTTTGAGGGGGAAGCAAAATCACGAATATTAATGTGGAGTTTTTCTAATTTATGTCTTAAAATGCATTAATTACACTATTTGTAATAAATTTTTATAAAAAATTATTTTTAATACCAATATGGCTTGAATAATTTTAATTGGATAATTACTGTTGTCTCCAAAATCTCCCTCTGGTCACCACTCACTTTGCTCTAAGTGAGAAAGAGGGGTTCCTGATGACCCTCACTACTTCTAAACGTGGAACTCGACTGTGAGTCGATAGAAGAGCACCCGTTAAATAAATTATGAAATGTGCCTTGGTCAGACGATTGGCGCAAAAACGGGGGTACATTCCTGCATAAAGGTCCATAAATAATTGTCCTGAAAGAACATCAAGGACTTCCCACAACTAGGGCCAAAATGTTAGTTTGTTGATTAAAATAAAAGAGAAAAATAAAGGAAAGGAGAAGAAAGAGAGTGCATGGCGAGAAAACACGGTTTTGCTGTAGTTGTGGAAATAACCATTCAACTTTATCCGGAGAGATTTACTCCAACTACTTTCAATCAATGAAATTCTTGTCAACATGCATGACACATGGCACCATTCTATTTTTTTGCAAAAATGGGTGTAAACAATGCCCCCAAAACTTGGTTGCACGACTTCATGGAAGTGGAATCAAGTTTTTGAAAATTTTGTTCCTAGCACTCCTCACCATGTGGCCAGTGTAAAGGAAGCATGATGTTTCCAAGAACATAGAAATTTGAGATTGTTGTTTTTTTCAACATAACATGAAATATTATCTGACAGACATAGCTAACAGACACAATGGCTTCATAGATAAATAAGCCAGCTAAAAGTGTGACTACAAAAAAGGTAAAATATAGCCTCCAAAAAGAACAATTCCATAAATTCCCTTGTTGGTTGACATGAAGACATAAATCAATAAATGCAGCCTCTAGTAGCACAAAGACAGCAAAAAACAAAGCAAACATGTCTGTCAAAGAAAACAAAGGGAAGGATCATAAAAAAGATGCTACAACCACGGTTTTGCTGTAGTTGTGAAAATAACCACTCAATTTTATTCAGAGAGATTTACTCCAACTGCTTTCAATCAATGAAATTCTTGTCAACATGGATGACACGTGGTACCATTTTACTTTTTGGCAAAAATGGGTGTAAACAATTTTATTTTTTTATATAAATTAATTACAAAATAATGTAATTAATGCTTTTCTTAAAGTATAAGTCAAATAAATTATAGTACAAAGAATTTAATATTGAAAATTTTTAACTTGTGTACTTTAAGTATGCATTTATTGTACTTTTTAAAAATTAATTTATATTCAAAAATTAAAGTGTAATTTTAATTTTACTAACTATATAATTAAAAATATACATGTAACATTAGTAATAAATGTAAGTTCAATCTTTATAAATTTTTATAAAAATTCAATGTAAAAAAATTCAATTAATTCATTTTAAGGAACATGTTACACAAACCGTTCAATATCTTAGGACTTTTTCAAAAATATTTTGGATACCACCTAGTTATTACATTTTTGAAAGTTGAAACCACCCTCATTCGAATTATCCCAAAATGTTGTTGTTACGTCCAAAATTCCACCACACCCTTGGTACATGAACGCTGAATTATTGGGAAGTCCAACCCCTACCTTTCCTTCGCCTTTTGTTTGCGGTTCCTAATAGTTCTTCTCAATAATTGAACCGCTGAAGTTGGCCAAAATAGCCTCTCAACCCCAAGATGATGAGTAGATGAGAACGTGCAGCAAATAGTTCACCAACTCTTCCTCATTGCTACCTTCCCATTTCACGTTCTATATAAGCAAGATTATTATTAATAAATACACACACAACATCAAGCGAAGGAAGCCGAGGAGAAGAAATACCCAAAAGAGCAAGAATGGATCCCGATAAGCCAACGGTTTGTGTTCTTGATGCGTCAACCTATGTGGGTTTCTGGATTCTCAAAGGACTTTTGAGTAGAGGGTACACGGTTCGTGCAGCAATTCAGAAAAAGGGTAAGTCTGATTCTTAAATTTTTACTGTTTCTTTGTCGATTGTTAGAGGGGTTTTCTGATTCACTGTTAATTTTCTACAGGAGGAGAGACAGAAATGGAGAAGAAAATTAAGGAGTTGGAGAGGGTGGAAGAGAAATTGGAGGTATTCACTGTGGATATGCTGGATTACCATAGCATTCTTGTTGCTTTGAAGGGCTGTTCTGCTTTGTTCTGTTGTTTGGATTGTTCGGATGGGTATGATGTAAGTTAATTCCTAGAAATCAAGCTCTTTTGATTGTGTATCATATAAAATTTTGGATTGTGTTACATGTTTTTTACCTTTTGGGGGCAGGATAAAATTGTGGATTTCGAAGTGAGAGGAGCAATCAATGTGGTTGAGGCATGTGCTCAAACATATAGTATGCACAAGATCGTCTTCAGTTCATCCTTAACTGCAGCAATATGGAGGGAGAATATTGGTTCAACAAAGGATGTGGATGAGAGGTGTTGGAGTGATGAAGAATTCTGCAGGAGAAAGAAGGTCTGGATTTCTATACCATAAAATGTATTTATTTTTTGGGAGATTTTGATATATCCTGCTGCCTTTCCTTCCATTGATAATCTTGAATTGTCAAAGCATTTGCGTATTGCAGTTTCTTCCTCAAATTTCTAATATCTCTGGTTTGCTTGAAAATTGGGAAAGTTCATGACCTGCAGATGGAATAATTAATTAAGTTCTTACTATTGCTTATTTTCTGGGAAAGGTGTTAAATGAACCCAAGTCGGTTTAAGGTTTACATTAACTCTAATTGTGATGATGACAGTAGAGTAATGGTTGGTAGAATGTGATGTGTTTGCTTTAGCTATAACAAATTCTCCAATGCTAGCAGTACCAAGATTCAACAAAATTAATTGCCATTAAAGTTGTTTAATTGTTCAATTTTTTCCTGTTGGGAAATCACTTTTGAGGAGTTCTGCTACTCCACCTGTTGAAATTAGATATTGCTACCAATTTATATGGGTCATGTAGCGTGGATATTAAGTTTATTCTATGTTAACACGTGCATTTATCTTCTTTCTCTAATTAATTTACAGTTATGGCATGCCCTGGCCAAGACACTTTCTGAGAAGGCTGCTTGGGCTCTAGCCATGGATCGTATGCTAAACATGGTTTCTGTTAATGCTGGACTAGTTCTTGGTCCTGGTGTTGCTCAGCAAAACCCTGGATCAACGATGTCTTATCTTAAAGGTACAAATATACATTTCACAATTAATTACACCAACAAAAATGACACCAACTTCAGCCTGGAGTTCTTACTGACTGAGATTTGCTATGTATTATGACAAATCAAATAGGAGCTGCTCAAATGTATGAAAATGGAGTTCTAGCTTTTGTCAATGTAAGCTTCTTGGCAGACGTCCATATCCGAGCTTTTGAGGACCAGTCCACGACTGGAAGATATTTCTGCTTCAACCAGATAGTGAAGACTGAGGAAGAAGCTATCACACTTGCAAAAAGCTTAAGCCCTTTGTTATCCTTACCACCCAGGTAAAAACATGTACAAATTTCATGAAAATGAAGAATGGAAAAGTTAATAATGCAAACTATAATTACATAGCTTGCTTTTTTCAAATGCAGGTATGAATGCCAAGGGAGTGAAGAGGTCTATGCTGAGAGGTTGAGGACCACAAAGCTGAACAAACTAATAGAGGGCACTGCATGTTAGTAGTAAAGACAGGATTCTTCCCTTGTATCAATTTCCCCTCAATATACTACATTGATGCATATATGGTTGTAAAGAAAATGGGTTGATCTTTTCTCCCCGTAATTCGTTTGCCATAATATAGTTTGGTTCTAATTGTCAATCAATATTCCAAAATTTGGTCCTTGAGATTGATCGCTGATGATCAATTCATATATTTAATAAAGATCAAGAACTCGGTCATATTTCTTAGGAGTGAATCCTTAAAATTGTTTATGAAGGTATTAATTTTGAGAGGTAAAAGTTGACTTAAAACTATCCCGAGTAAATAAAAAAAAAAAAGAGAAAAAAAAGGATGAAGAGAGTTTTATAACAGTGACTCTTCATATAAAAAGAAATTAGTGAAGCCTTTGGGCATGGTGATGTTGATATGATTCTTACGAATGTTTGTTCCCGTTTCTAGTCTTTTCAATCAGTTCATGTTCCTAGGGATTCCTGTTTTACTGTTTTAAGGTTGAAATTCAGTTGAACGAATTAAAGAGCTTAGATTAGAAGGTTACTGTTTCCTGCATCTCAAGTTTTTACTTAACTCTGTAAATACCAAGATTTGGATGCGAAATATTTCTTGTGTGTTCCTACACGACATTTACCTTATTTTTGTATGTCAGATGATTTATTACACAATACAAGATAATTTTTTTTAATTTTAAATTTTTACCCATTTATTTCAAAATTTAAATATAAATTTTTTAATATAAGTCAATTATCTAAATAACTCAGTTATTATCTTCTTCCACTGAAAGTAAGAAATCTTGTATTTAAATCGCATGACATGTAAGTGAAGTAGAATAAAAAATAAAATATGATTATCTTTAATTATACAATCAAATTAAAAAAATTAATATAAAAATTTAAATTTTTAACAAATAAAACATTCTTAAAAGTTAAAACCCATTGCATCTACTCTAGAAAAGACCGTGAGCTTTCAAGATAAAGAAATCAATACTATTTATTAAATTTTACTGTTATTAAAGCCTAAAAATTAAAAAAAATTAAAATTTTATTAGTACCTAGGCAACTTTATTTATCAGTTAATTTTAATCTTTTTTTTTTTAAATTTAATTTCAAATTGTAATCCTATTTAGAGATTTTTAATATTTTCTTCTTTAAATAGAATGATAATTATCCATTTACTTTTCATTATTAGTCACTAATTGAAAATTAGAAAAATTTAAGTTAAAATTATTGCTTTACCTACTAGATAAATAAAATTGAAAAATCTTACTTAAATTTCATTTGAATCTTATATAACAAAAAACTCTTTTAAATTAGATCATTTATTTGGAATTCAAACTTTA